TTAGTGTTGTTTCTAATAATAGATTGTGTCTCACCTCAGAGATAGTAAATATGGACCAGTATACGTGGATAGAGTGTCTATGGATAACGTCAACGACTACTAATATATCTTGTCCATCTTATCAGTATGTCGTAGATGGATCTGGTAGATCAGAAGGGGTCAGTGGTAAAATGGATAAGGCGCAGTTAGAAGTTCGTGAAGGCGATTCTGAAGATGGGAATGCTAAGGTGAGAAACATCAATAAATAGACTGATAATTTGATGTGAATATAATATTGATGTAATGCTTACGATGTGATAGGATGGAGGTGTGAAGGTGGATACTGTGCAAAGCGTTGGAGATAGCAGAGAATCGTTTGGTGATGGAGAGGTACGATGAGTGTAATACATTGCATTATGTTTGTGAATAGAGGACGAGTATTTAAGACATTGTAACTATATCCGAATATGTTGTATAGGGTGTGCTGGCTGCGTCGGGACGGAAATGTAACATTGAATAGGCGGATGTACGTGATGACGTTGAGATGAAACTCGAGACGGGCAAAAGCGATGTTGATGTTGAGGATGTATAGAATTTTTTTACTAAGTTATATAAAATATAAACTTGAGATTACTATACTTAAGTTGTAACATTGTATTGCAGGGGGACGTCCCAGGGTCACCGAGCAATAGCGATACATCGTTTTTAACGCTGAGTGATTCGTCTCCCCCACCACTAGCTGTGAAGTATACTCCATCAGGTTTATGCGCGAAACATGATGAAGTAAGAATCGGGGGAAAATGATTTGTAAAGTAACAATAAAAAACATGCATATTACCATTAGATTGTTTTATGAAGGTATCCTCAAAAAGGCAAGAACATCTGAAAAACTGTTTGAAGCTAGCTCGACACCCAAAAAGAAATATAAGTGGAGCATTACAAAAGATGTAAAATGGTAGCATGTTAGACAAGTAAAGTTAGATCGGGTTGTTGCATTTTTTCCTGTTGTGACCAGGAAGTCCACATCGGCCACATTTGTTTGGGATAGTTTTTTTGACACGAGGACCCTGAAAAGATGAGAAGATGAATGAAAAAAGGTTTTGATTTAAAATAGATAAATGGATAGGGATATGCTTACACGGATTTCTCATGTAGAAGTATAACGCACCTGTTTAGGACGACCGGATGGCCGCCGTGTTTTTGGTGGTAGCAAAACTAAGTAGCTAACCTCGTCAGGTATATCGACATCCTTGGGGTCTCCTTCAGGCGATATTATAGCTTGATAAGTGTCACACCATGCCTTTGTTTTGAAACAATCAGCCACAAGCGATCCATAGGGGAGCCCGACACAGTCAGCAGCCATTAGGGCGTGGACACAAGGAATCTTCAATCTTTCGTACATCATGCAGGTACATTTGTGGTCTTTCAGTAAAACGTTATTTTTTTTCCCGAACTGTCCTATTATTTCCAAACTCCAGCTAGAAATGGTGTTGATTTTGCTGCCCTTTGCCCTTTTGAGATTCAGGGTCATTTCTTTATCCACTTCAGGAGTAATAATTCCTTTATGGCGTTGGGATTTTTTCCTGCGAGCACTGAACCAACGCGTCATCATGGATTGAATGAACTGCAAGAGTTCCAAAATGGGGGAGCTTCTTCCTTCGCACAAATATTTGTTAAGCTGCTCACAAGCGTTGCTTGTCATTAGGTTATATCTGTCTCCTTTAAAATGAACTCTTGCCCATGTGACAATACCGATGTCGTGGAGGTATTTAGCACAGGCAGCATTTGTAGAATTGATTTGCGCAAAGATAGCACGAAATCTTTTGACCTTGTAAGCAAAAGCAGCCATACCAACCAATTTAGATAGGCTCTTGTTCTTGAACCTTGACGTAACATTCCTTTGCAAATGAACAATACATGCGCCATGATGTGCTCGGGGATAGACATGTTTAACCGCCGTTAGGATAGACCTATGTCGGTCTGAAATAATAGAAAGGTTTGAACTGTCAGCCAATATGCGTTCCAATTTTGTTAAGAACCATATCCACGCATCATCGTTCTCGGAATCCACAATTCCAAAAGCCAATGGATATACTTGGAAGTTAGCATCCTGTCCACATGCCGTTAACAAGACTCCTTTAAATTTCCTGGTCAAATGGGTTCCATCTAAAACAATAATATGTCTGAGCCTGCGGAAACCAAGGATTGAAGCAGCGAAAGATAAGAAAACATACTTAAACCTAATAAAACCTAGCTCGTCTGTTTCTGTCTCCAAGTCAGCCACAGAACATGGGTTTGCAAGTTTGAGCATGTACAAATACTCGGGTAACTTGCTGTAGGAATCATCATCAGAACCTCGGACACCATTGACAGCCGTTTCTTTTGCTCTGTAACATGTCATGTATGAAGTATTAACTCGAAGATCTTCAAGGACGAGTTTTTGCAAATCCCTAGCCCTTGGACCATTGACCGGATCACCAAATTGAGCTTTGTAGACATCTGAAATTACTCGAGCGGATGCTTTGGAAGCAAACACCTGTCGGGTCTCTATGCCACATGAGTGTTGAAGATGTGCTTCTGTAATTTGGTAATAGCCGCAGTCCTGTATTTCCTTAGCGCGAACTCTCCAATCACAAGGATTTCTTGTACAAGTGAGCACAAAATAGTTCCATTTGGTAGTAGTTTGTTTGAAATGGAACATTTCTTTGATGGCATATATAGCGATAGCAACTTGGCAATCTTCCTTAGATCCAAAAAATCTTTCCAACCCTGATGGTAGCTTCTCCTTCGTCAAAACTATCTAAATCCGGAATATCTGGACAGTCGTACAAAGTGTCATCAAACAGAGGTGGTATGTCGAACTCCTCGTCATCGAGACTTTCAAGGCGCTGACGAGACGGTACAGCGGGTCTGGCCAGTAAATCGAATCTTGGTGGATTGTGGGATGTGTTCACTAAGGGAGGGGTATTTGAAAACAGTGAACCAGAATTCCCGCCAGGTGCTATTTGGCATGAATTGTTCACAGCATCTGGAAAAAGGACCGAGAACACATTTGGAGGTGGATCAGACATTAACTCAGCTGCATCTGAACCACCAAACTGTTCAGCAAGCAAAGGAGCCCAGAACTTTTTGTCATACTGCCGGGGAACACCAAGAAGCTCTTCTTCAATGTCAATATCTAAATCCCCATTGCTGCAATCGTCAGAGTCAGATAGTTGAGAGTCGCCGCTTGTCGAGGTAGAGGTCCCTTTTGAACTACCACTTTTATAATTTTCCTCTAATTGCTCCGCATGATTGATTAAATCTTCATTGTCGTGGATAGGCTGATAGTGTGTAGTGGAACGACCGCTTTTGAAAAGGTGTACACCGGGTTTGGAAAGAGATACCGGCTGAAAAGATTTGCGCTTGAGAGGAAGAAGTGGAGTAGTGAAGCATTGGTCATATTGTTCTGGTGGGGCAAACGATGGATGTGGACACTCGAAGTGGACAAACATGTTCATAGATGAACTGACGCGGGAATGTTTGATATAGTAAGATATTGCACTCTCCGTTAAGATGACAACCAGCAGTGTGGTAATTCCAGTCACTAATTCCTTAATATTAGGCGGCCAGTACGATAATGTAGCTTTCTTTCCAGCGTTCCCTTCAGGAAAAATTCACGTTCAACCATTTCTCTAAGCTCATCAATATGAATGCCTTCTTGAAATGACACCATTCTCGACATCAACTGTTTGTCAATAAGGAATTCCCACTTCTTGGCAGTGGTGAAAACCCATTCACCAGCAATAACAAGGCAATGCTCTCCCATTGAAACCTAGTAAGAAGGAGTTCGAATATAAAATATTGTCCACTACAGTAATGTCCACCGATTTGGGAAGAACAAGAGGAATAGCTTACCTCTCCAACCATCTGTGGCCGTCGCTTGTCTCAACAATGGGGAACAGAAGATCCTGATTTACTCTAATCTACAGCTGTAATCCTTTTCATGTAAATCACTCTTTTGATATCTACCACAGGGACACTTGTCAAGCTCTCGGTCTTTAGATAGAGAACATTTACTGCATATTGAACGGTTCGGATATAGTAACTTTTGTGTGGGTCTTACCATTTGTATTGTGGTCGTCCACTTTGCCTTATCAACTTGTAAGTATCCACTTGTGATCGTCCAATTTGGCTTATATATTTTGTCGATGTTTGGATATAGCACTTTTGCTGGATAAACCACTGCTGGGATTCAGCATATTTTTGTGTATTTTCACCTGAACGTCCACCGGGTGTGCATCCACACTTTAACTAATGGCATATTATAATGTATTCTGATGGATAGTAGCCGAGATCCTCAGTGTACGGGGTTGTGTGGATGGAGAATGTGTAATGCATATATATACGGCAGAGATATAGTTTCCCAAATCTGGACTGCTCGGGATTACGCTGGAACTTTGTTCCCGACCCAGAAGTTTGCAAAATTAATGGGAACTGTTCGGGATTATGTGGGAACTTTGTTCCCGACCCAGAAGTTTGCAGAATTAATTTCTGGATATAGAGGATTGACGATATATGAGGGTTGAAGGTAAAATTCGAAAAAGATTTGACGGAAGGATTTGATGAGGCAGCACCGAATTGTCAGAGAAGAAGATGGACAGGGGTGCGGCTACGCCGAAAAAATGATTTCCAGTGTTTACAGAAAGTTCCAGCGGAACTAAAGAAGAAGATAATTGAATAGTTCGAAAGAGTAAGAAAGGTAAAATTTTAGGAAGTTCGTTTTACTGAAAGGCAAAAATGTCCCAAAAAATTTGAAAACTCAGAAAAATCACCTAATAGCAAAAAATACTTTTTGATGTAATATAAGTTATAAAAAGTGCTTTTGAATGTAAATATCTCAATTTATACTTCACTTTTGAGTAGTAAATATTTTATACCAAAACTATGCCTGGGATTTCGGTTAATTAGGGTTTTTTGGGTTTAGTTAGTTCTATATCGGTTCGGGAGAAATTCGGTAATTTTTAGTGTCGATCCGAAGTTGGCAAATTCAGTTAAATTCGCATAGTTTCTAGTAATTTTGGTTGATTTCGGTTATCGGGGTTTAATTTCGGTTATTTTCGATTTTCTAAAAAAATCAGAGTATTGAAGACTTTGCAAGAAATCACGAAACCTGCAACTGCAACTTTTTAAATCACTAAACCTGCAAACTATCCATACCCAATCGATACCTTCGAATAGATTCTAAACAACTTCTTTTTTTTTCATTTACTTTACACTACAAACAACCATCAAACATAACCAAATCACTAGAAACGAAGGGCATGAAAAAAAGATACCATCTCTCTCTCAAAACACTGAGACTAAGTAGTAATAAGAAACAACACTTAGATTCTTCATCTGCAATTTTCAAGAGGTGTTCATGGCATCTGCATGATAGCTTTCAAGATCCTTGTCAAGTTCAGCCGCAGACTTCTCCACTTGCTTCTTTCCACTCCCTCTTCCACCACCACCACCACGGCCACGTCCTCCGCCGCCACCACCACCACGTCCTCTACCACGAAACCCGCCTCTTCCTCCTCTCGTTCCTCCCTGCCAGTTTTGACTACCAACAAGAGAAGATCCAATCGTTTCAATTTGAATACACAAACCAAGATAAACCAGGAAGTTTATTTTGTAACCATCCAGGTTAATATGAAATTCAAATTCCGGTTCCACTCGGTTAGTATACTTACATTGGAAGGCGAGTGACAGGAGGAGCTGGAGCTCTTCCTCCTCTCCCACGGATGCTCCTACCTCTCCCTCCTCCTTGCCTGCAAGCATCAGAGGAGATTGTAACATTAGTCTCTTGTGAATGCGATAAAAAGAAAAAAAAAAGGAAGAAAGAGAGACAGAGATTCATACTGGATAACAACGGTCCTCTTCAGCCTTCCGTTGAGACCAGTGACATTCACATTTACACGAGCCGGTAAAGGAGACTCGGTGTTGTTGTTACCACCCAGAATCTCAAGTCTCATTGGCCTTCCATCCAATAATACATTGTTGTATTTCTTCAGAGCTTGAAATGCATCACTTCTTCTCGGATACACTACTTCAGCTGTGCCCTGTAATTACATGGCACAAAGGGAAAATCACAGTTAGAAAGAGCATATAGATGAAAGCTTTTTTTGAAGTCATGACGAGAAAGGGACTGATAAAGATGGAAACTTACACTTGGGCGACCATTTCTGTCAAAATGAATAGCATAACGCTTCAGCTCCCCAATCTCAGAAAAGAGTTCCTACGATCACAAAAAGATAGAATAAGTGATTTGTTTGTAAAAACCAAGAGCATAGACATATAAGAAGCCAGATTATTATTATTATACCCTTATATCTTCATTTGTCACACCATGGTCAAGATTTGTGATATGGAGCCTGGTTTCAACGTCAAGTCCTGATACCCCAGCAGCTCTTAGACCATCTTCAAACAAATTGCTCTGCCATGGCAAGCTTCTGATCCTACGGACAGGCTATTAAAAAGAGCAGATAACATCAGTACAATGAGTTTGTTGAAATTTAAAGCAATGTCTATGAAAAATAACTCCAAAGATGAGAAACCACCCATTTGTCTGAAAGAACGAAAACCAGTCAAAGTAAAGATCTCTCTCCAGCAAGTAGTCAAGAACCAACCAAGGAGACCAAACGAAATGAAGGAAAAAGGAATTTCGACTGACACCATGAAAGTCACTGCTCCGATTCCAAAAGAAAGTCCTTGTACCAAGGCAATGATAAAAGAAGAACCGAGACGTCTGTAGCACGCTGAAGAATTTCCAGATGCAAATACACCGAGTAGGGGTAAATCACTATAAAGCTTATTTACTGCCAAGAAAAGTTACTGAACTTTCCCAAAACGCCACAGCACCGCAAATCCTTAAGAGGATTTTGAGTGTCGGTGAAAAGATTAACATATTCATTGCAATACGATTGTACTGGATGAACAAATATTGACCTTCAACTAACTGAAGCTCCTCGGCTTAAAAGCACTGTGGCAAAAGCAACTAAGAACTTTGAGAAGTAGACTGAAATCGCAGGGGTAAGAGGCTTTTCTAGATGAAATCATCTCCACAAACTATACAGAAGCATGCATCACCTCCTAGACGAGGTTCTGAATGTTAAAGAATGTCAAAACATCTTTATGCATGTAAGAGAAAACCTTGCTTCTCCCGTCGTATAGTTTTTCTAGCATGATGAAGTATATGCTTCGACATTTCATACCACAAGAAACTCAGATTTCAATCAAACACATAGAAGATCCCAGGTTTTGAGCTTGCCTTATTAATGGTGAAAGATGATGTCCGAGCATTCACGGCAAGAGGACCTCTTCGCACGGGTCCGGTTCCTCTTCCACCACCACCGAGAAAACCATTCGGTCCATGACCTTGACCATGACCATGACCTTGACCGCGACCACGGCGGGAACCACCTCTTCCCCTAGACCTTGCAGCCTTACCACTCTTGACAATATCATCAAGAGTCATATTCAAAGATCCAGACATCTTCAGTTCAATAAAAACCCAATTTCCTTGTGAAAAAACACAGAAACTAGGCTGAATCTGAAACCTGCAACAATTAGAGAAAAGAAAAAGAGTGATTAGACACCACCAAAAAACACGAACAAGTAAAAAATAATCATCACAATCTCCTAGCACAAACACAATGATAGAAGTGAAACCCTAGTTTCGATGCCCAGAACCATAATTTCCAACAAAAATTACAAATCAAGGATAGCCTGACTCTGAAATTTATCGTTCAACGTAAAAGAAAGCAAGCAACGAGTACGGATCCCATCAGATTGAGAGATAGATATCAAAAAGATCAGCTAACCAAAATACGAAACAGTTCCTGAAACGAAACCTTAGATCGACAGATCTATGATCTATCCATCTTAGATAACCTAATCATAGTTTTCTGAAACAAAAACTGGAAATCGTGTGTGCAAACAGTAGAAATTAGAGCGGAAATCATCAGATAAGATGCCTCAAAAGGACACAAATCTATAGATGAATCATGATTCGTAAAAGGATGAAGAAGCGAGAAATTACCAAGAACAAGGGCAAGAAAATCCACACGAGCGAGAGAGAGAGAGATAATGATGGGATAGGGTTTTGAGGAGCTTCTGTGATTTGAGGAGCTTCTGTGATTTTGAGCGTGAGAGAAGATTCAGAATTTGGGGGAGAAGAGGTGAATTTTGGGGGAAAGTGGAACGACGCGGATAATGGGCCTAAGGCAAGGACACTTTCGTAACTATATTTTAGATTTAATGGGGCATTTCGTCTTTTGAATTATGATTTCTGTAAATTAGTTTTTTTTCGTTTTTTTTTTCATTGCATATGTCAAAAAAAAGTTTTTCCATATTATTATTAAATTCGTTTTTAAAATATTTTTACCATTAATCAGCCACCATTTTTTCTTTAAACTGATATTTTTTTTACAAAATTCAACTGATTTTATTGATATAAATAAATCGATTGAAATACAAGGTGAAATCTAATCACCAAATTAAATGAGGACTGATAGTCTTGGCTAACACTAATCAGAACCATAATCCTCACGTTCCTCCCGAAAACATTTTTTGTATCACTCATGTTGTTACATTTTTGACTTGAGCAATGGAAAATCTTTTTATATTATTTTTGTGTGGATAACAAGCATTTTATAAGGGATGCACATCTGAGCAAGGGATGCAAGATAGTAGTAAAATTATTCTTGGATTGACTTCTTTCTCGATCATTGTTGTTCATCAGTTGTATCACTTGATTTAGAATCCTCTACCGAATTGCTCCATAAAGTAATAACGAATAAACAAGTTGTGGTAACAAAAAAAATGAAGCAAATTTAAGAACTTGATACCATATAAAATTGTACAAGTCGTCTTATAGATCACAAAGATTGCTTTATTGCATTATTACTAGATAATGTGGTCATCATTTTACCAGATAATTAAATCCTTAGATCCATTGAGTATTGAAAACGACGCTAACAAATTGAGCAAACATTATTTATTTCATGTAGAGACATTTAGAAACCGCCAACTAGACGTATCACCAAGTGAATGTACGAGCCACTTTGGATGCTGTAATGTGACAAGGTGTGACCATCTTGAAGTTGCTTGCCTGAAAAGATGAGCCTCTGCATTTGCACAGGGACGCCTTCACTGTCCTCGATCATAGCCTTGAGGTTTTCAATGGTCGTAGAGCCTCTTACAATTAGGCTTACGTTTCTATTCTCCATATTCTTTACTATAATCTGCATGATGATACTCTCTTTTTTTCTTTCCTTTTTCTCTCCGTCAAAATGCACAAGAAATCCTTAGAACTTTAGAACGAAATCAAAATCGGAATCTGAGACTGAAACTTGCTCTAATTCTTTTAGTTGTTCGTTTTATATAGCCGATTTGTTTTGTAATTTCCAAAAATCATTTATTTTAGTTCTTTTTCTTTGACCGTTTTTGGAAAACGTGGTCTTTACTCTTGAGTCTGGAGTCTTGACGTAGATTTTAGACTCTTAGTAGTACTAATAC